ACTATAAAAAGGGGTGTTTGGGTCTGCTTTACACACTAATTCACTTCACAATATTCATACTTTAATTGCATTCAAATAACATCATTTTCCATAGCTTTCTAGAGCCAAATTGTGTGAAGTTTGAGTTGTTCTTGAGCGTACTTAGTTTACTCATCATCTACTCTTAAAGAGAGTCTTGTTCTTGAGTGTTTAGTGTTGTATACACGTTAAGGGAAGCTTGTTTCCCTTGGTTGTACGAAGGAAAGGTATTTTCCTTCGGGTTGAAGTCTTGGAGTGCGGTATCTCCGAGCAAGTGTTGTTGAGGCTCGTGGGACTCGAGTTCTCAGGTTGTAACGGTTTGTTAAGCACCCGTAAGCTTAACGGAAGTAGTGTAGCTCGAGAGAGTCTCTCGGGAGACTGGATTAGCCACACGTTGTGGTGAACCAGTATAAATCTTGGTGTGCTCCCTTTACGCTTTCTACGCTCTTTATTTTTTTCACGTTCTTAATTTTTTATTCCTGCGATTTCTACGATCAAACGCTATTCACCCCCCCTCTAGCGTTGGTCACTTATTCTAACATCAACATCAGACGACTCATTCTAATAAACATCTTATAATATAATTCTAGGAATGCAATTAATAGTTTACATTAGCATGAGATGTTTGTAAACTTAATGCATCTGCCTTTACATGATAGAAAATATCTAAGATATTACAACATCAGTTGGCCATAAGGGCACCAACTCCAACAATCTCCCACTTGCACTATGGCCAATCTGGCATCGGTCCAATGCCCAATGACCTAGTGTGACCCTCATGCTTTAGCTTTCCCACGGGCTTGGTCAGGGGGTCGGCTATGTTGTCGTCTGTTCCCACTTTGCAAATCTCCACATCACCTATGTCTACGATTTTTCATATGATGTGATAACGTCGTACAATGTGCTTGGTCTTTTGGTGAGATCGTGGTTCCTTTTCCTGTGCAATGGCCCCAGTGTTGTCGCAGAACAACGGGATTGGGTCATTAATGCTAGGAACCACTCCAAGTTCAGAAATGAACTTCTTTATCCAAACACCTTCCTTTGCTGCTCCAGCAGCAGCCATGTACTCATCCTTTGTAGTTGACTCAGCGGTTGTGTCCTGTTTAGAACTCTTCCAGCTAAAAGCTCCGCCATTCAGGCAAAACACATACCCTGCTTGTGACTTGTAATCGTCTCGATCGGTTTGGAAGCTCGCATCAGTGTAAGCGATCACTTTCAGCACTTCCTCACCTCCATATACCAGGAATGCATCCTTAGTATTCCGAAGATACTTTAGGATGTTCTTGACCGATGTCCAGTGTGCTTCACCTAGATTCCCCTGGTATCTGCTGGTCACGCTTAAAGCGAATGAGACATCAGGTCTAGTACATATCATGGCATACATGATAGAACCAATTGCAGAAGCATATGGGACCTTCATCATGAGTTCCTTCTGCTCGGGAGTAGAAGGACTCTGGCTTTTGGAAAGAGCTGTGCCAGGTAACATAGGTAAGGATCCCTTTTTCGAGTTAGACATGCTAAATCGATCAAGGACCTTATCTATATATGTACTTTGACATAGACCTATCAACTTTCTTGACCTATCACGGTAGATTCTTATGCCAAGGGCATAACTAGCATTCCCTAAGTCCTTCATGGCGAAGTTCTCACTCAACCAAGTCTTTACAAATGTAAGAGCAGGAACATCATTACCCGTTAACAATGTTTCATCGACATATAGGATTAGGAATACTATCACACTCTCACTGACCTTCTTGTAAACACAAGACTCGTCAGAATTCTTCTCGAAACCAAAACTAGTGATGGTTTCATCAAAGCGTATATACCAACTCCGAGATGCTTGTTTCAATCCGTAGATTGAACGTTGCAGCTTACAGACTTTGGCAGATTCACCAGCAATTGTAAAACTGTCACGCTGTGTCCATATAGACATCCTCTTTGAGGTTCCCGTTAAGGAAAGTCGTCTTGACGTTCATCTGCCAAATCTCGTAATCGTAGAATGCTGCAATCGCAAGCATTATCCGAATGGACTTCAGCATCACAACTGGAGAAAAGGTTTCGTCATAGTCAAGTCCGTGGATTTGTCTATAACCTTTTGCTACCAATTTAATCAGATCCGATCACATTAGAGCAGATCAAATCAGATCAGACTAGATCTAAATAAAATTAATATTTTTATTTTTATTTTTATAATTACTATTACTATTATTGCCATTATTATTACCATTATTATTACTATTACTATTACTATTAAAATTATGATTATAATTATAATTACTATTGTTATTATTACTATTACTATTACTATTATTATCATTACTATTATTACTATTATTATCAGTATTTGTATTATTATTATTATATTACTATTACTATTATGATTATCACTATTACTATTACTATTATTATTATGACTATAATTATTATTACTATTGTTATTATAGTTATTACAATTATTTTTAGGAAAAATTAGCCAAAATAATCCCAACTTTACCCGGTCTTTCAAAAATAATCCCACCTTTCACTGTGATGCATAATAATCCCAACTTTACTGAAATTTGCCAGTTTTGGGTCGCCGTTATGTTTCTAACGGAGGGTTAACGGAAATGCCCGTTTTAGGCAACAAAATGAAAGTTGGGATTATTTTTGATGAATTTTTGTTTTTTAATTTTTTTTTTGAAATTTTTTGAATTACTTTCAACCTCCATTTCTTTTTCTTTTTTAATGATTATTCTTACCTTAGAAAAAAATAGATATAAAAAATAATGAAAATGAGAAAAATAACTAAAACCATACAAAATTAATCAAATAAATAATGTAATCAATAGAAATTAAACAGAAATTGGTAAGAAATAAAATAAATATATACGGAGTGGTGGGTTTTAACATTTTACACACTATACAGATAGGGCTGGACACGGTACCGGTTCGGTACCGTCACCGGAAACGGTACCGCCGGTACCGAGCACCGTGACGACCACCGGGACGGCTTAACGGTTCCGAGAACCGGCACCGGTACCGCCACATCCGGTCTCGGTTCCGGTGCCCCAAAATCGTTACCGGCACCGCCGGTACCGGTGTCGGTTCCGGTACCGGTTATATTTTTTTTTCTCCTTTTTGCTCTAATGCTCTCCAACGGAAACCTGCAAAAAAAACAAAGTNTTATACGGCACTGTACAAGAAGAAGCAGCACCACCTCCGCCTCCGAAATCAAAAAAAGGTTTTGCCGGAATAGTCGGTGGTCTTCTTGCAAAGAAAGGGAAGCGTGCTCATTCTTCGACGAGTTCAAGTGGTACAACAGTAAGCTCGCACAACGAACTTGCTATGTACCAGGGTGTGCCATGCGATTACGACGACGACGACGTGGATTTTGATGTGCTCGGATGGTGGAAGCGGAACGAACACATGTTCCCATGTCTCGGCATGCTAGCAAGACAAGTGTTATCCGTTCCGGTATCAACCGTAGCAGTTGAACGAGAATTCAGTGCGGACATTCTAACCGACTTTCGAAGTTGTCTTAGCGCTGAATCTCTTGAAACACTGGTTTGCAACCAAGATTGGCTCTTGGCAAGACGTCGAGCTCAAGAGTCATCGTACCTACTCGAATCGGAGCATTACATGAATGCAACAACAGATGGAAGCCCGAGTTCTGAAGAATAAGTTACAATTTTTTTATGTTAATGTAGATATGTAATTAGTTTTTTTAGGTGATCGATATATAAGCTCCTTCGAGGGTTTCTTTACGGTTCTTTACCTCGTCGCTTTTTTTGAACCGTCAGGATATTAAATGTGGTTGTTCTTCAGTTAGTGTATTATTCATTTAAAATATTTAAATCACAACTACATTTTTAGATTTTTTATTTCATTCTTTCCTTAAACAATTGCAAATTTACAATTTTATACTTTAAAAATTTTAAAAAAAGCAAAAAAAAAAAGGAGGGGGGCCGAAACCGGCCGGTCCGGTACCGGAACCGCCGGTCCGGGAACCGGAACCGGTACCGGCCGGCACGGTGACGGTTCCGGTGACATGGGGTGGTGGTACCGGAACCGGCGGTTCCGGAACTAGAACCGTACCGTGTCCACCCCTATATACAGAGTCTTAATGTACTACTTATTTAACATTATTATTATTATTATCATTATTATTTTTACTAATATTAATATTATTGTTATTTTTATTATAATTATAATTATTATTATTTCTATTATTATTGTTATTAATGTTAATATTAGTATTAGTATTATTATAGTTGTTATTATTATTATAACTATTATTATTACGATTAATTTTTTTATTTCTATTTTTATTATTAGTATTATTATTATTACTACTATTATTATTAATATTTCTATTTTTATTATTATAACTATTATTAGATCAGATCAGACTAGATCAAATCAGAGTTTCAAAATATAAGTTATGAGCAAATGATAAAAATGAATTGAACTAGGATAATGATTTGAGACTTATGAGTTCATTTAATGATTGTTATGTGAAGAGGGAAAAGGATGCCGCCCTCCAAGGAAGTGATATGGAAACCTATTCTATCCTCCCGGTGAGGCTCGATGATGTTGGGCCAATTCGGGTCATATTCAAGGACATAGCCCGCTGGGAGGTTCCTACGAGCTTTGTTTTGTGCAATCTTAGATACCCGGGGATAGATGTCTAAGATGTAAATGGTGGGGAGGGGAAAGTAACCGGATTCCTCTAGCCGGTCCTCCCACTCCATCCACGACTCGTTATCAGGGTCATAGGGACCCGATTCGTCATCAATTGGTTCATCCCTCTCCATGAAAACCTGACCGGGCATTTGATTGTCGTCTGGCTCCGGTTCGGGGACGGTGGGGTGGGGAGTCGACTGGGGTTCGAAATCAGAAGAGTAATACTCGGTCGAAGAAGAAGAGGTCGTATGACCCTCAGATGCGTAGGCATCTGAGGACGGGATATTCTGACTATCGGAAAAAGACATTGACCGGGAAAAGAAATAAAGAAAGGAAGAGGAGCTTACTTGGCTCGGATGGCTGGAAGCTAGAGCAGAGGACTTGACCGGTGAAGCTTAGAAGGACGTGCGAGAGAAAGTGAAGGAATGAATGGGGTGGAGGTCCTTATATACGAGGAAGGGAGCGAAAATGGGCGACGTGGCACGATCAGGACACGTTGCGTTAGGCGGCGTAATTATTTTGCATGGGAATGTGAACAGGCGTAATGATGGCTTCCTCCAGCGGTCAAATTTGAATTTGAAATTTTTAAGCGGGAAAAGGCAAAAATTCGAAATTCGGATCCGTTTCTCAGATTTTTACTTCTCGCCCATGATATTTACATGGCCGAGAAGTGGAGGGCTTATTTATGGGTGCATTCCACCCAGAACCGGTCAACGAAGACGCTCGTATACTCAACTCGTCAAAGTTAATTTTCCAGGATGGAGGGACCTAAATCGTCAGTAAAATAGTGTAGGGTAGATTTAAAAGATTGCTACATGACAAGGGAGCAATCTTTCTCGCAAGATGACAAAGCAGCTAAAGGACGAAGGCCATCACCTCCCACCACCCAAGAACGTGCCTCAACGTGGGCAAGCGGTGGTTTGTCCCCTGCAGCTCAGTATAAATGCCTGTGTAACTCTCAGAATTGGGGGACCCGATTTCTTCTCTCTAAAACTCCCTTGTAAAAGCTCTCGTGCATTCTCCTATATTAATAATATCAATTGGGCTACATGTGTTTCCACCCACAATCCTCCCGGTTATTTGGTGTGTTTTTACCTTTTTACTTTTCGAATCAAGTAAACAATCCTAGACCCGATCTAGTATAGTTTACCCGGTTAGGTAATTTACACCATCAGAAACATTGTTAAGGATTATTTCAAAACCACAATGAAAATTATAAATTATCTAATTCAACATTTTAATAAATTACGTTGAATCTATAATGATAACTAAAATTTATTTTAAGGAGAAAATATAATTTAATAAATTATGATATGAGATCAATTTTTTCTATTATATTGAGACGATGATGATGAGTAACAACAAGAACACCAGTAATAATAATATTAGTAAAAATAATAGTAATAATAATAATCATCATAATAATCCATCCATTCTGAAATAATTATATCATTTTTTTACTTTCTTAATAAACTAAAGAATATTTGGTTCACAATCTTTCTCTTTCTTCCAATCAAACTTCAACCACTCGCCCTTAACTTTTAAACACTAAAAAACTTAGTGAAGTCAAAATGGGACGATTGATTGAGAACAGAAGGAGTAATAACAATATGAATATATACCTAAGTAACCTCTCTATCCCGAAAGGTATTGTCTCAGTTTCACTTCACGGAATTTAAGAAAAGTATTCAAAAGTAAAAAGTGTGTGTTTGGAATTTGTTTAGAAGAAAGAAAAATTATAGACCACATAATTTTTTTACTTTTTAGGAAAGTAAAGTTGCAAGATAATGTTTTTGGGACTGACTCATAAGGAAAGTGTCATGATTAATTCGAGAGTCGGGATGTA